TTAATTGATCTCAAAATTTTCAAATTGAAAAGATCCTCCTAAGTAGGTCTTTTTACCAAAAGAATAAACTTATATTATATTCCAGCAGGAGTATCTCTCCATTTTTATTCAACCACTATGTATTTAAGGAGTGTGTGGAGTACATCACCTGTTATTGCGGAACAAGAGGGCAAATTTAAAAAAAAAAAAAAAAAAAACGACTGGGGCAGGGGTGCTTTTGGTAAACGTTTTTATAAATAACATCAAATGATAGTAAAAGAATACAAAAGTTGTCCGTATGTTGTTAGAAAAAAAAAAAAACCTCTATTTTAAATTGTTGTAGTCAGGTCCCATGGGTCGGATGGCAATTGGGGAGGCTTGGGTGCGGCCAGCCTTGGCCTCGGCCTGGCCCTTATTGCCGTAGGGCTGGGCGGGGACACAAATGAAAAAAAATAGAAGTAAAAACAAGAAAAAAAGGATGGTGGAGCTGGGCCAAATCAAGCGCACTGGATCCTAGTCCAGCCCTTGGGCCACAGTTTGTGGCCCAAGCCCCACTTTTTATAAGTTGAAGGTACGGCCATGGCACAAGAAAGAGCAATAGATATATCCCATTGCTAGAGAGAGTGGGCGAGAGGAAGTATGGGTTCTAAAAGTGCAGAGAAACATCATGCCCTGTGCATTCCATATCCAGCACAAGGCCACATTAACCCCATGATGCACCTTGCTAAGCTTCTCCATGCTAGAGGCTTTTACATAACTTTTGTCAACACTGAATTTAACCATGAGCGTGTTACTAGTTCAGGAGGAGCCATCGAATTGAAGCATTTAGAGGATTTTAACTTGGAATCGATCCCTGATGGCTTGCCACCTGACGATTGCCAGACCCAAGAAAGCCTTTTCGATGCAACAACGAAGTATTTCTTGAGTCCTTTCAAGGATCTGGTTTCAAAACTCAATGGCTCCATGGAAGTCCCTCGGCTTACATGCATAATTTCGGATGGCCTTCTGAACTTTACACAGCAAGTTGTAGAAGAGAATGGGATCCCAAGGATTTCTCTGTGGACGACGAGTACTTGTGGTTACTGGGGATTCTTGCAGTACCCGGCGATCTTCGAAAGAGGAATCCTGCCTTTCAAAGGTCTGTCCCTCTCCCTTCCTCATACAAATACACAGCTTTCTCTATCTCAAACACTTATTACTTGGTTCGTAGTTCAAAGAAAAGTACTTGAAAACGTTTACCCAATAAACAGCAACTGTAAATAGCCAATCTCTATGTGCGTGCGGGCACGCATACGTGCAAGAGAGAGAGGGAGGGCGAGATGTCTAAATCTGCAACCATCGAAGCAAAAACTAGACTGAATCTAGGCGCCTTCTCTCTCTCATATTTTTTTTCCATTGTTGCCTAGTTCACCAGAAGAGAGAAAGATAAAACTGTTGCCTCCTTATACACGTTTTCACACCCTGAAACGAAAATTCACAGGGTTTCGGCACGCACATGGGTTTGGTAATTGTTTTGAATTTTTTGGGTGAATTATGAGAACTAGGGGCATTAAAAACTATGATAATTGGGTTTAATTGTACTAAATAAATTTTGGACACTCATATATCTTTGTTTTGTACGTGGAGCATTTTTTTAGTAAGGATATTTCTAGTCCATAATAGTGGTATGAATGATCCACATGGGATGTCCGATCAGCCTTCATCATGCCACATCCTATGTGGATGATGTTACACCCATCCTAATAACAACAAATACTCTTAATAAAGAAAATAATCCATATAGAAAACAATGATGTATAAGCTACTAGCTATAATGAATAGTATAAGCTACTAACTCCCAGCCGTCAGATCTTCATCGGGTGGTTCAAAATTCATATCACTATCCAAATTTTCTTATTTTTCTAAAAATTAGATCGTAATGAAATTTTGGAAGTGTGTACTAAAAAATAGGGCACATAATAAAAAAGTATATAAAACATATTTCCTAAAATACAAAATGACCGAAACACATCTGAAAATGATGGGGCTGATTTGGTCCTTTAAATTATTGAAATTAAGTTTTCAATATTTTTATATGGTGCGCAATAGTGTTAGGTATACACCTAAAATTTCATCTTAATTTGATTTAGAGAAAAAATATTAAAATTACAATACTTATATAAATTTTGATCTACGCAATGAAAGATATGACGTTGTCCCTTCACATACTATATTTCAGTGAGTAGATCCAAATAAATATCACTAGTTTGGCACAAGTTTTCTAGCTTTGCCCATAAATCCACCATCGCCCTTTTAGCTACTATACTAAATGGTATTTCATTCGCTAAGCATAAGCGAATTGTGGGTAGCGCCTTCTTATGTTTTTCTTCCCAATCATCATCCTTCATTTTTTTTTTTTTCTCGGATATTTTTTGTAGTGTTTTGTAAAAGCCTTGTTGTACCCATATATCATGAACTTTTATTTTCCAATTTTCAAAATCATTCCTTCCATCGGACTTCTCTACTTCAAATTAGTTAGTTGCCATTTTTCAAAAATTATTACACACTTTCCTTGAGCTATGATAACACTTATTAGGAACCAAAGCTATTTCGTTTACCCCCTTGTTATGGTGAACCCCTTACTACACCAAATCTAACACCTCGAAATTAACTAACCCTTCACTTGCAAATTTATTCTAAGAAATCCAATACCCAATAATCAAATATATGGTGCAATGAATGGTCAAAATATGATGAAATCAAGAGAAACTAAAATATGAACTCTAATGGCACAACCACACATTAATAACCATAATCAAAGTACCATAAACACATATTATATATACGTCACCCAAAATCAGGCTACTTCCATGGGCAACCGACAAAGAAATAATTCACTATCAATAGAAGTAATTTACAACTTTATGGGTTCTGCAGTGATTACCTCATTCATTGGTAAAGAAAGCTCAAATTGATTTTCCTACCATAATAACACTACCAATCGACTCCTTTTGTCTCAGTCAACTAACACCATTACTGCAATGAAATCCTAATGAAATCCGGCCCAATACAAGGCCACAATAGTTCTAAGGGTTGTGCAAGAATCCCCTGATGTCCACCTACCAAAACATATATACATTTTTCTTATGTTTTCTCCCCCTAAAATTCTTTGTTATAGGCCTCCATAAAAGTTCATTTTTCTACCCCTCACGAAGAGGAATGCCATATGGAAGTTATTTTGGCAACACATACCAACAAGCACATATTTTTTATTTGAGGAAAACGGTTTTATAAAGTTGACGCTCTAAACGATCAAATTGAGCGTTCCTCAAAAATTCACTAGAAGAAGATGTTTTGATGCCGAAAACCACTCAAATACGATCGTCTCAACCTCGAGACACAACCGAATAAAAAAAAACAGAACTTCAAGTCTTGAAAATAGTGCTTATTGTATTGCATTTTATAAACTGACAATTTTCAAGTATTTGTAGTTCTACTTGATCTATATTATTTTTTATGCCTTAAAATTTATAATTAGAGATTAAAATTAATTTCAGGCCACAAAAAAATTTTTTATGCCAAAATGACATCTTTCAACAATATTTGATTTTTGCACCCCTCTTTGATTAGCGTCAGCCTTATAAAATACACACCCTTTATTTGAAGCAATAATTTATTAACGACACGCAGTTTAGTGAAATTTTGAAAGTGCCTCAACATGGTTTACTTGAACAAAAAATTTAACTTCGCTATGTTGTCGATGCACGATAATGTAGGACGCCCCGATCAAATTTGTGTTCTATAAAATGAGTAAAATTTTAGATTACGAATATGAATTGACACTTCGGATAGCTTCACTCATAATGCCATACGTTATATAAACTTTGAGCGTCTAATCTTCATTGGACAGTTCAGAATTTTTTATTTTTATTTATCTTTTACAAATAATTTTGAGATTGAATCTGTGGCATCCCTTCCTTCCCTTGATGCACCTAATAAAAAGAGGGAAACAGTGTTTCTTTCAAGAACAAGAGCTCACAATACCCTTGTAACGATTACTGATATTTTGGTTATTTATGTTGTCATAAACATTTATTTTTTTCTTTATTGGCTGCACCTTTGAAATGAATAGTTGCCCCAATTCTGATATTTCAATGATTTGTCAATTATAAAAAAAAATACTAGGCCATACGAGATGAAAGTTATCATCTACATAAAAAAAATACTAGGCCATACGAGATGGAAGTTATCATCTAGATTGGATTACTGAGACATCAATGATATATGGCTATATGTATGCGGGCGGCGCCGATGTAAATGATTCATGATTAAAACAGTAAAACTTCAAAAGTAATTAACAAGAAATCTGTTTTGTTATGGAAACCAACCATGTCCATTCCACTTGCTTTCTTTTTGTCCTTTCCAAGAACGGATCCATGGGGCGGATCGTTCTAGATCGCCAATCCAAAATTTTGTTTAGAAAAACATAGATAATATGATATATATTACAATGAGTGATTACATAACATTAATGGTGGAGGCTTTTGGGAGGCATCTTGTCCTTATACCGAGGGACTGTTGTAGGAGCCCCATTGCTTTTTTAACCTAAAAAAACAAGGGAAAATTACTAATAACTTTAAGACTAGACTTTTTATGCAAGTTATCTCAACTAAATTTTTTCTCACTTTTTTCTTTAAAATACACTTTTATAGCAAATACTTCAAGTTAAAAAAATACATTTTTTGATCAAAATATCCTTTTTTTGTATATAAAAATTTAATTTTGGCAAGACATTCACGTGGGTTTACATAAGTTGCCGGACCGCTCTTTGACATTGCCGAATGCCGTTAAACTAAAAAAGTGCCGAACCGCACTTTGACATTGCCGGATCGCACATTGGGCCTGTTGCTGGACTACATGGGCCTGTTGCTGGACCGCCTAGGCCTGTTGTTGGACCGCATTGGCCTGTTGCTGGGCCGCTTTTTGGCAGTGCCGGACCGCATGGGCCTATTGCAGGACTATTCTTTTTTAGTGTTGGACCGCCACTTGTATTGCCAAAGCACAGCTGTTGTTTATTGGACCAACATTACACTATCGGACTGCCATTTCGTCGGAAAGAGAAGAGAGAGGTATGGGTAAAAATAAGGAAGGGTAGTTTAGACTTTTTTTCTTTTGGGTTGGGGGGTGCCGATGAACCTCAAATTTTGAAGAACTCTAGATTTATTTGTAATAAAAAACTAAATGAATGTATAATATTAAATAAAGGACACGGTTTCTATGTGGCTAGCTTGCATATTGTAGAATTGCGGGCTCAGCATTAAATATAATTTGATCCTAATTTTTGGAGAATATATAATTTTAATATGGAGATCATGAATATTAAAAAAAAAATCGAATACTATAAATAATAAGTATATTAGAAAAACATTTTGACAGTTAACTACACTTGTGTTTAGATGGACCACCTATTTGCATCCATCTTTAATATGGATGCTTCATATATTTGGATCGCATATTGTAGAACTGAGATCCAACCCACATGAAACAAATTTTCTTAAATAAATCATTGACAGTGACTGACAACTAGCAAGGTTTTGAAGCTTCTCAATTTGGATATGCAAATTTTAATATTGGGGAGTTTTTTACCAATGCTTTTTGGATAACGTTTCCACGTTGTTTCATTTTTTGAATGGTTTTTAAAGAGGTAGCTTTAGGAATTAGGCTTGGGGTATGGTTTTTGTAGCTGGTTTACATGGCAATATATCTCAAGTTTCATTCGTATGTAATTTTGTAAAAATAAAAATAAAATAAAAAACAAAAAATAATAATACCAATAACTATAATACTAATTATTATTATTATTATTATTATTATTATTATTATTATTATTATTATTATTATTATTATTATTATGTAGCTTGAGCCTCGTGATAACAACTATACATTTTTTGTATTTCTAGAAATTTGAAAACCTCAGCATAGCTTTCAGGAGCTTACAACTCGTGGTGCGTGAATTCACCACTGGTAGTGCCCTAAACCGCCACCTAGAGTGTCAAATGCAATATTCAAGCATAAAACTAAAATCCAAACTGCGGATAAATATTTCAAAATTGCTTATGGTGATTTTGTAGAAGTAAAATTCAGATGAAGCACAATTTTGTATCAAAATTTAATGACATTTGGGGAATGCAGATGAGAATTTCTTGACCAACGGCGACCTCGAAACAGTTGTGGATTGGATACCTGGCATGCCGAATATCCGTCTAAGAGATCTACCCTCCTCTATTAGGACAACCATTCTTAGTGATATCGTGCTACAATTTTGCCAGGTTAAATGCCATGATGCCCTCAAGGCTTCAGCTCTCATTCTTAACACATTCAAAGATTTAGAGAAACCTGTTCTCGATGCCATGAGAGAAAGAATCTCATGCCCAATCTATACAATTGGCCATGTTGTAAGCTTTAGCCAAGTGAATCCAATGTCCACTTAAACTCAGTTTCAATGAGTCTTTGGAAAGAAGAGGATGCTTGTCTAGAATGGCTCAATGACAAGGAACCTAAGTCAGTTCTCTATGTGAATTTTGGCAGTTTGGCAATTTTAACACCCAATCAAATCAATGAGTTTGCTTGGGGTCTTGCTAATAGCCAAAGACCATTCATATGGGTCATTCGCGACGATCTTGTAGCTGGCGAATCCGCAATGTTAGAAAAAGAATTTGTCGAAGCAACCAAAGAAAGAGGGTTAATCTTGAGTTGGTGTAACCAAATGAAAGTACTGTCACACCACGCAATTGGTGGCTTCCTAACTCACAATGGGTGGAATTCTACAATTGAGAGCATTAGCAATGGGGTGCCGATGATATGTTGGCCGTATCTTGTCGAACAACAAACAAATTGCTGGTACGTTTGCAAGGAATTGGGCATTGGTATGGAGATAAACAATGATA